GAGGAGGGGGGGGGAGGATAAAATACACGGCCCATGATGGGTTTGGCTTACACCAAAATTCGCTGGCGATCCACCGACTTGGGGGTCGTGATTTATTTCCCCCCTAGCCTTTATCCCAATATCTAACTTGATTAGCGTGGATTTGGACGCATGGCTGATTGTGCGGGAGCAACTCTGTCAAGGTACGCATGAAACTTTGTTTTACTTTCACTGATAAGTCAGATGATATGCACACTGAGTTACGAGGATAATGTAGAATATCTCGGGGTTACAGCGAATAAGCAGTCTTCAATCCCGATTACTATTTTCCCCGGTTTATCATTGTGGTCCAAACTCTAATTGTCGACTTGCATTTCAATGCAATGGAGTTATTCTGGACGAGCGTTGCACCTGTTCATGTTTGCCTTCACGTTACTTGGCCAGTTGGCAGAATCGCATAAGTACCTGACTCATGGCCTGGTAGCTCAATGACTTGCTCACAGACATCATCTGACACTCTAATCAACAGTATCGCAGCTCATTCACGATGACTAGTACACATATTCCTCACCTTGCTGATCGGGGCACGTTCAAGCAATTAATCGTCCATGGCCGCCCGTTTCTCATCCGTGGCGCTGAGCTCCAGAATTCCTCCTTCTCATCTGCCAAGTTCATGCGCGAACTTTGGCCGAGGCTCGCTGGCATTAACCTCAATACGGTCTTGGGAAGCGTTACATGGGAGATGATAGAGCCAGTTGAAGGGCATTTTGACTTCTCGGAAATAGATCGCATTATTCTCGACGCGAGAAACGCTGGGCTTAAGCTCATACTGCTATGGTTTGGATCATGGAAAAATGGTATGCTGGATCCCGCTATGAGTTTAGACACTTCTTTCTGACTTGGAGCTAGGCATGTCCAACTACGTCCCATCCTGGGTGAAGCTGGCTCCTGATAGGTTCCCCCGTGTTTGGATACAAGACACAAATAACCGCCTGAAAGCCACAGAGATTATCACACCTCTTTGCACTGCATCGGCCGAGGCTGATGCCAGTGCCTTTGCAACTTTAATGAAGCACCTCAAAGAGGTTGACGAGATGCACTCAACAGTTATACTCATACAGCCTGAAAACGAATGCGGTATTCTGGGAGATTCACGAGATCGTAGCGACATCGCTGAACTTGTCTATTGGCAACCAGTTCCTGAAGATCTTGTGGCATTTTTGGAACACGACTGGGACAACCTGCATCCAGACCTAAAATCTCATTTCGAGACGCCTCGACGCTTGGTCTTGGGCGGCGACACGAAATCCACCTGGGCCGAGATGTTTGGCCAAGATCCCTACACCGATGAGCTGTTCATGGCCTATCATTATGCCAAATATGTTGATGTCGTCGCCAAGGCTGGCAAGAGGGAGTATCCCCTACCAATGTTCTGTAACTTTTGGCAGAACTATAACGGCGAGGGCTCTGATAACGACTTCCCTGTCCTGGCCGGAGGCGGCGGTATGCCAGGTGACTATCCTTCTGGCGGTGGTATCAGCAATGTCTTGGATATATGGATGAATTTTGCAACTGCTATCGACTTTATCTCACCTGATGTTTATCTTAACGACTATATCCACATTTGTGAAACATATCGGCATCGGAACCAGCCCCTTTTCATCCCCGAGCAGCGTCGTGATGAATATGGGGCTCGCCGACTTTGGAAAGCTATTGGTTCATATCATGCGATAGGCGCTTGTCCGTTCGGTGTAGACAGTCTCCCGGAAGCTCAGACGTGTGCCTATACCCGACACTTTGGGCTACTTGCCCATGTCTCAGACCTTGTCCTTGAAGCTCAGCAACGGCCTGGAGCTATTGTTGGCTTCTTCTTCGACGATATCACAGACGACAACGTGGAGTCAGAAGACCCGAGTACAGTGGTGGAGATGGGAGGATATCGAGTGGCCATTGAGCGTTCCTTTGTGACGGGCAGGCCTGGGCCTGGATATGGCGTTGTTATTCTCCACCAGGAGAACAGCTATCCAAACGAAACAAAGTTTTTGCTTATTGGCCAAGGTTTCCAGGTTGTCTTTCAATCCCTCGACCCGAGATCTTACTATACGGGGATTCTGAAAGTCGAGGAAAAAGAATTCAACAGTTCGAGCGGCAGATTGGATACCTTGAGACGGCTCAATGGGGATGAAACAAGAAGTGGACAGTTTGTCATCATGCCGAATGACGATCCGGATTACGCGGGGTTCCCAATCAGTATCACGATCCCAGCGAGGACTCGAATCGCTGAATGTAGCATCTATAGCCTCCTTAAGTAGCACGGATATGATTTCAGCGTATACGACATCAAAATGCAGCAAACTTTGGTTGCATTGATCCTATCACTCTTTCGAGGGTAGAGGTATCTCAAAGTGTTCATCTAAGGCCATTGAGCAACTCTGTCAGGGTATTGTTTCTGTGCCAAAACCCATCCTCATCTGATGCTGTTCCTTGCCTGGTCAAAGATGTAGATATGGCTGGGGTCAAACTGGAATCAATGAAGCCATCTGATGGTGGAGCATATTCGGTCAAAAACCTTGCCATCCACCCATCCATCTTACGCGGATTTGTTTCCAGTGATTCAATCAAGGCGTTCTGGAACAGTGATAGGCGAGAGATCTGTCAGAATCCCTACCGCATCAGTATTACCAAACAACTTATAATCAATGTGGAAGAAGCCAACGTACCAGATTTTCCAAACTCGGCCAGAACTTTTTCAGTTCCAGTAAGGTCTTGAAGTTGGAGATCAAACCACTTCTCGCAGCTTCAAGCTCGCCAACCTCACCCATCAGTAGCACGTGCACAAGTACCGCCGAAGATACGATGGTCATATGCCCAATGGCAGCATGAACCGCTTCGCATCCCTTTTTTTCTCGTGAAACCTGCAACAGCTCGGAAAAGCGAAAGGCGTGTGACTTGCAAAGCTGCGAATAGTGCACTTTGTCTCGGGAATACAGCCGTCGGGACTCCAAATAATTGAAGAAAAGCAGCGTCGCATAGTGATGGAAGCCAAGATGGAGATCAATAAAGGTGCCTCCAAGTCCCTTGGAATGATACTCCCGGATATTCTGATCTGTAAGCTGCATGTGAGAGGGGAGATTCATCTCCCAATCATCAAGTTGTTCGGCTAGTAGTTTGACGTGACCATCAAAGTCTCGCTGACACAAGCCACGTACAACATTGGAGCGATTGAAATCTTGAATGTGGCCAAATATCTTGGCAAGCATAATTTTGTATGCCCATATGCCCAACGTCGAACCCGTTGATCCACCAAGACTGAATCCAGGCTGTTGGAAGATGGACTCGTCAATTGGGAAATCAATCGCATAGTCGTTGTCCTGGATTTGTCGTGGAAGTCCAGAAGCCGAGGAACACCATCGGTCTGCCATAAAAAGTGTCCAGAAAACTCGCTTTCTGGTTTCAGTAACAGCCGGGTTCTCAGAGAGTTTGTTGTGGGGGAGTCGCATGATCTGAGCCATGCGGATTGCGATACCTTGGTCTGGTGTTAGAACCGGCCTGAAATATGGCCTAGAGGTTGATCCCATGGTGCGTATTAGGGGCCGAGCGTACCAAAATACAAAGCCTCGCTTTCTGTGTTCAGATTGGCAGAGCAAACATTTGCAACAAGGATACACGTTTGGATGGTTGCTAGACAGCATTGTTCCAAGTTTGCTTGCAGCCTCAATTTGCAGGCTCTTGTCAAACAATCTTCAAGAGCCCTGACGGCCGGGTCATGCGAAAAACGGCATGCCAAACTGCAAATTGCTAGCAGCAAGCCCGGATGAATTTCCCTTCGCTGCACTTGGTCTTTGAGGGTAGGTTCGTGAAAGATGCTCTGTGGCCGATCGTGAATATAAGCCATGTACTTGGTGACTAATTCCCATTGTATTTGAGGCGATAGGAGGTCGTCGATATCCGTTACAGGAGATGTTGTCGTTCCTACTCTTACTAGAGGTGCTAGATGTGTCGCGGTCGATGCTTTGCTCAGCTTAGTTGAAGAACATAATTCACCCCGTTGCTGGCATGCAAAACATGTATTTCTACCAGACAACAATCGACATTTCCTCTTTGCTGCTCGGCATTGTAAGCAAGCCTTGGCATTCTTCATTATCTGGGGTAAAGACGATTACTTGGATGGCTGAACAGCAAAATATCCAGGTTGCAATTATGGCTTCTCTAAGATATATGAGGCTAAGTTCACATTAACTAGCAGTATCATGATAAATGCAAAGGTGGGGTAGTACACTGTATTTATACCTATTACCTAGACAGCCCCGTTAATTGAGTCAGCAAATCCACAAACAGTTAGCGAGAAGGTCGGGGAAGTTAATAGCACTGTAGAGATAATCGAGCTTGTATTTGCAAGCTACTTACGCTTAATAATATTATATTTAACGATCTCTAGGCGTGAAGAAAGGCTGAGGCTGCTACTAGCTGATCTTATTACAGAGACATAAAATCAATCACTCCTCGGTCACTGTTAAGCCGATAGCCAGACCTGCTCGAGGAACTGTGGGGAAGCGGAATTACAAAATCCGTGCCTCACAAGATATCCGGATTCTGGTCCTAAGTCAGCTGATGACCGATGTAAGGGTTAAACGAGTTGAGTTAAACGAGTCAAGTTAAGCGAAACCGAACGAGAACCCCGTGTGACCAGACTACGGGGGTTGCGGGGAAGGAAAGATTAAACCCACGCTAGTTAAACGTTTGGCAAGGTTCAAGGCATATCACTCAGCCTGTCCCTTCCAGATCGGAGTAACATAACCCGAACACAAAACGTGAGAGAAAGACATATAAGAGGTCAAATGATTACCTTGTGTGATTACGACAGAACAAACAGACAGATAGCAAATTCGCACTCGTTGGTTTATTTTATATGATGGTTCACATTCTTTTGCTTGCAAGCCTTGCTGTAAGCAGTTCTGTTCTGGCTGCTCCTAATCATGTTGTTCCTGATGCTCAGCCGACAAATGCCGTTGCAATTGATCCAGCGCCCGTTGGGGTATCGTAAGTATCCATCGCGTTAATTGCTATATTGGAAGGAAGTCCCTAACGCTGTCACAAGCTTCGAGTTCTTTATGTGGCCTTCTTACATGACCAACATCTCGTTGGCACTTCCTTGCATTGATCACTTCAACAAGCTGTACCACCGCAAAATTCCTATTCGAATTGGAGGAACAACACAGGACAGAGCGACCTACGATCCTACTTTTAAAGGTTACGTTTCATATAGCGTCGATGACCCTCTGGAAGCTCCTATGAGTTTGACTTATGGACCAAAGTTTTTTGACTTAATTAGTAAGTCAACCTACTATAGCTTGGCTTTAATTTATGCTGATACCTGTGCCTGAACAGAGAAGTTTGGAAGCGAGACTATTCTCGGTGAGAATATTGACTTGTCTGAAGTGAACAGTACTGATACGTCACAGGCTTTAACCGAGGCCTCAACAATAGGACTAACACCTTTGCTGCCGTCCTGAAAGCCAAGGAAAAGGTGGCCAAATACCTCTGGGCAATCGAACTTGGAAATGAGCCAGACTGTAGGATCTCTCACCAGCACGCATCATACGCTGAGTAACAAGACTGTTGACTGTTTCTCATAGTGTACTGGAAATACTGGCAGTACCCAGTAGCCGAAGCGCCTTGGAACGAGACCCAGGAGGGCAATGACGCAGCTGACTGGGCACAAGACTTTATAAACCATTGGAAGAGCCCTCTTCCCATCCTAGCTGGAGGTGGATATACCATTCCCATTGAAATCGAACCCAATTGGCCCAATCTGCCCTATCTCATCGGAAACAGCTACAACATGACAGTCAAAGATGCTACTAAAGTTTACAATGGACACTTATATGCGTTTTCTAACGCTACCGCTGATGAATTGGGTTCTGAGATGAAACATCAGAGAGTTGTCCAGGACCTCAACCTGCTGCCCATCTCCAGCGCCAAGGCTGCCGGAAGATCTTACATTCTAGGTAAGGCTCATAATACTCCTTGTGTATGCCAGCACCTACTTATGTGCCCACTCAGGTGAAACCGGATTTCATGGGCAAGATTTTGAAATGGATTCCACTTTTGGAGCGGCCATTCAGGCAACTGACAAAACCCTTCGCGCATTGACTGTCGGTGTTCAGCGGCTCTTCTATCACCAAGGCACCATCAACCAAGGTCAGTGCAATAAAAGTTCCAGATGCTCGAACATGCCTGACTCACCCCCGAAGCGTTCTTCAACTGGTGGTGGAGTGACCATGTAAATGCCCCGTTCTATGGTGCCTACTTTGGTGCTCTCGCTTTAGCCGGAGGAGACTCCATCGTTGCCAGCGACGATGGCACTGACCCCTATGCTCAATACATCATTTACAAGAACGGAAAAGCATTCAAGGTCGTTTTGATCAACACAGACTACTACTCTGGCAGTGGCAAACGCTCTGAAACCAAGTTCACTCTTAGTGGGCTGAAAACCAATTCCGTCAGGGCCCTCCGCATGACTGGACCAAGCAGTGAAACAACTGTCCCTATCACACAGACCAAGTCATCTCCCCAGCCTAGCATCGGAGGTATGTCCCAGTAGTCTATTCATCATGGAAAACTTCACTTAACAATTTATGCAGGTCAATTCTTCTCAAACAAGAACTGCGAGTTGGCCGGAAAGCAAAATACTGAAAAGCTTTCAGTCAAGAAGGGAAAATTAGAAGTGACTCTCGAGGCTTCTGAAGCATTGATTGTTTATCTCTGATGACGAACCGAAATCACTGTATTGACTCAATATGGGAACCAATGTACTATTTATTCCTCGCAGTTGGAGGACAGCTGTTTATTCATCAGGGTAGCACCGCGCTGCAATTCTATGGAAAGACGGACTAAACTATCTTGTACTAAATCAAGAGAGCTGAGATTGTGTTCTTATCTCAAACGACTATATGGGGGAAGAACTTCCCCTATTTGTTCGTATTCACTATTGAGAGTAATCTTGTCATGTTAGAACGTTTATACCGAACTAAAGAGAGACTGTTATACTCACAGAGTTCAAGTGACCATGATTTTGAGTATCGTCAAGTCCATCAACCGCCACCTGTAGCGGTACCATGAGAGAAATCGTATTGCCATATGCGCCTATAGCTAGACTGACTCTAATCCGGTAGGTTCGACTGATCAGACAGGAGTAAAAGGTAGGTAGGAACAAAGACTTCTCGGTAGGAAGCCCAAATGATTGTAGAATGGAAGCTTTGTACGCATTAGACTTAGATGAGCCAAAGTCCCGATGGGAGGCACACGAAGCTGAGCGTGCTGTGAAGTGAGGTTCTGCACAGTCTTGGATAACATCCAAAGGCTCTGAGAACCTCTTCTCTGATTCCTTCTCAGAGACCTGTTGGTTGTCTTTCTGCCACCTTACCGTTTCTTTCCCAGTGAGCACGAGGGCATGCGAGGTTAACCATGGTGCTGCTGGAGCAACCGAATTTGATGGCTTTTGATGGTGATCTGGTAAGTAACCGTCTATACCAAGCCAGAAGTTTGTAAAAATTTCGATGGTGGCCGACTTGACCCTTATCTCCGGTAGTGGTGCGCTGCTTGACATAGGAATGTATTCTAGATCGATAGGTATACGGGACATGGGAGAGTTGAGTCCGTCTAAACAGAGTAGAATAGGTTCTGGTTGAATAGCCGAAACGCGCACAAGCCCCATCTTTGTGCCAACAACACCTTTTCTGATCGTCTTACTCTTGGATAAGCAGTACTCTGGGTTTTCAGGACTGACATGAAGCGGTGGTTGCTTAGGAAGAGCTGGAATCACTTTGAAAGAACGACTCTGATCCAGATACTGTTCTTCTCCTCGTTTGTTCTTGCTCAACAAAAGACGTGCTCTGATCATGTAATCGACGTTCGCAGAACCACCTGCAAGATCGTCACGATCCCAAGCACCCATGCTTGGTGGTGGCCGCAGGTGTCGCTCCCTGACTGCTTTATTCTGGTGGTTGCATACAGCGGATGAGAGTTGCTCGGGAATCATGAATCGAAAAGGAACGTGGTACAACTGTCCTTGCTCAAACGACTGATTGACAGGTAGAGCCGATGTAGGAATTGGCATTTGCAATTGCATAAAAACGTGGGTCTTGAAAGGTGTGCCGTACTGAAATGCGTGGCCGCAGGTCGAGGTAATGCCTCTTAGATCAATCTGGAGAGACTGGAAAGGCAGTTGGTTATGGGATGTTATAGTGACCAAGCCAGAGACTGTGGAACCGAACGTATAAACTTTGGACTCGTAATGGCCATCAATGGTAATTTCAAGGGTAAGATCATGGTTAGCGCGTGCTGGAAATAAATATCGCGAAGGCATGCTGATGGTAATATAACTTGAGTTTCACGTCTCTTCGTTGTTGAATGCAAATACCAATTCGTTGCTATGGAGTGACTCCTCTTCACTCTATATATAACAGGCTGAAGACTGCCTACATTCCGTACGCTGATTAGCAAATGGCGAGACGGCGCTCTTCATGATAATATCTAGGTGTTTCTGGACTGATGCAGACTCTCTGATTGGCTCTCGTGCCGCAGACCGAGAAGCTTTGTTGGGCCGCTCTGACGTCTTGAGCCGAGCGTGGCCGTGATTGGTTCATTTCCCCGAAGCCGGAGTTGCTTTCGAGCTTGATTGGCTGGTCATGCCGAGACTCAAGATGAACAATCAAAAAGTCGATGTAAAGATGACAAATAGCACCCAATCGCATTATCACAAACCTGATTCTATCATTTTACAGCTGGAGACTCAATTGGAAACATCTTTTCCAATCTTGAATATCTTATAAACAGTATCGAGTTGAGCTATCGAAGTTGGAACCAGCCACATTGCCCAGCGCGCCACTGATACGCCACTGATACGCCATGTATGGTCAGTGATGACGGCCACTAAACGAGACTGGGCAAGTGAATGACTTTTTCTCCTTCTTGCACAATCCCATGGCAATTCGTGTCCGACTACTAGAGATTTTCACATTCTTAGTAATTGAAAACTTCTCTGCAGCAACTTCTTATAGCCGTAACAGGAATGTCCTGCGATCGCCCCCGGTCGCATAATATAGCGGCCAAAAGGTCACAATTGCCTCGCGCAGATGGACCTACGAGTGAGTTACCCTGTACTGGGTCACCTCATTTTGCTTAATTGCTGACCAGTACTCCAAGGACGAGCTTGCATCAACTGCCGCCAGCGAAAGATCCGCTGCGATATTGTCGACAAAGGCGTTCCTTGTACGAACTGCAATACGCACGGCCGATTGGGGTGTCGCATGTGTCCTAACAAAAAGGACGCAAGACAATCCTTGAACCGACCAGCCATTCTCGCTCCACTCCGTCCTCGAGAAGCTACAAACTCACCAGCAGCCCTGTCACCTATAGTCACTGAGCCAGCTTCCACTGCAAGAGAGGATGGCGAGCAAGATCTGGGGTCCCACCTCTTGAACCGCAATGACAAAACAGAGGTCGAGCTTAGCCAGGTCGAGCTCGGCCATCGGACTCGTTGCCATTTCATTGGATCCGAGCTCTCTAACTGCCATTACCTTGTGCGACAGAGCACCTCTGAGACTGGACTTGATAAGGTCTTTCACTTTGGCAACGGTCAGTTAGACTCTTCTGAGAATTGGTACGAAGCACATAATATTCCAGAAGAGATCCTTATACGACCCAGCAAGGTTCTTGAAATGAGACTGATCAGAGCCTATTTTGACCTCGTCAACCGTGGGTGGCCAATTGTGGACGAGGAGCTATTCATGACCCAATATCAAGAACAGGATCGCATGAATCCCCTCTGCTTGACGCTTCTCAACGCTATTCTACTCGTCGGAGCACACACGCTGGCATCCGAAGATGAGAGTATGCTTGCTCTGCTTCCTGCCTTTTTCCGAAGAGCCAAATATCTGGTCTTGAGTGATTCATGGCATGATAGACTTATTTATGTTCAAGTGCCGCTGCTGTTGACCTGGTATTCTGATGCCAATGCTTGGCATTGGATTGGAATTGCTATAAGGACGGCAATGGCCATGGGACTTCACCGCGATGCCAGCCACTCAACGAATCTACCGGTCTACAAGCGAAAGTATGTCCGAATCTGGTGGGTTCTCTTCCAGTTTGACACAATCTCGGCAACTTCAGCTGGTCGGCCTCAAGCTATGTGAGTCCATCCTATAACTCTAATTTGAAATATGCCCACTAACCATGTCAGAAACCTATGGGACTCGGATGTTGCTGATTTGAAGCCTGCTGACCTCGAAGGGATTCCTGGGGCGGAGTTCGAGTTTATCACCTATCATACCAAGCTTTGTAAGATCATCTCACAAACCATAAGAGATGGCTGGTCACCGCGATCTTCCATAGAGGCACGAACTGAGGCTATCAAGAGAGCAGATGAGTCTCTTGGGAATCTCATGCTCGAGCTTCCACCAAGGCTGCAACTTAAACTTTCCGACCTTGATATCTGGCAATCTTTGTTTCACCTGACCCATCATAACTTCGTTCTGCTGATCCACCGCCCCGCACCAAAGCCCGCCATCAGGGATCAATCTCCCGAGGCACAAGATAACGCCATCCTTTGCAGGGAATCAACAGTAGCAATTGCGTCTATTTTCGAAGTCCTACTGAACAAAAGGATGATCTCTTCCTTATGGCTATACAGCAATCATGTGCTGTTTACAGCAACTATCTACATTCTGAACCAGATTAGCACTAGCAAGCCGCTCCTGGCTGCCAAATCGCGGCATATACTTGACACGTTTCTTGCAACCCTACGCGAGTTAGTCAAGTATTGGACTTATGCAAAAGGGCTGATGCAGGTTCTTGAGCAAAGGGCCTCCAAAGTCAGAGAAGAGAGAGTTGAAAGGGCGTCTACGAGACTGCACGTTGCAACACCTGGGCAACAACGTCGGCCACCACCCGATCTTCAGCCAAATCTACAGGGTGGTCCATCATCATATGAGCATCTAAGCGAGAATCTACCTCCGTGGAGTAATCAGCAAGCTCAAACACTACCGAATGCTGCCTTGGCTGATCTGATTTCCAATTCACAGCCCGCAACTACCGATTTCTATCCAAGCACGGGCTTTCTAGGATCTACTCAAGATCCCCTACTGGATGATTTGTTCATGATAGACACTTCTGCGCTAGACTTGTTCTTCTACGATGATACGCAATAGGTAGTCGGAAAGAGATAAAACGTGATGGTATTGGTGGATGGTGAGACTAGTCTGATTAGAAGACCCGGGCCATCGATTAATGCATTGCAGCCATGCGTCCTAGAGATGTGTACCCTCGCCTTTATAGATTATGTATTTGTCTAGAGCTGATAGGGAAACACTGGGATAGAGAGCCCTTAGATAGGACGTATTGAAATTTTGATTATAAAGAAATTAGCGGCACCACAACTGTGCCGTCAAAGAGTCATCATCTCAGACATCTCTGCAACAGGGCCCATTGAAGGATGATAAGTAGTCGGCTTTCCATGCATGACCTTCTGCCATGAAGGGCTCTTCTCCTTCGCTTTAGCCCAATGTTGCAGCTCCAAGGGTACAAGATCATCGCTTCCTACCTCCAGACATCGTAAGGTAAAAGGGAGCAGATGGCTATCTAGTATAGTCGGTCCAATATCTGACCCAAACGTCCATTGATCATGGTCTTCGTAAGAGCCACTCCTTTTACGGTGTTCCACAACCTGTTCAAATATAGTCTTGAGGTCTGCGCGATGCTTAGCAACAACATCAGGTTGGAAAGCAACCGCGTTATGCTGGTCGTGGCTAAAGAGTACTGTAAGTCCGATGTTGTTATAGAATATGAGATATAGCTTACAAGGCAAGTTTGGCTTCTAGAGCGGCGCGATACTGCGGGCTAATAACAGTCCTCTGGAGCATCTTTTCAACTGGCGACGGATTCCGCTGAGTCATTTCCGCAGTCGGTTTCGGGTTGCTGATTGATAGTCCGTAGACAGCATGCAGCCTTTCAAAGAGATCTCTGACGATGTTCTCACAATTTTCTCCTAGCATGGCAGGGTAGTGCTTCTCTGCGAGATGAAGAGAGATGGCACGACTCTCAGTCAGAGTTTCTTTGAGAGGGTTGCCCTTCATCGCGGGAACTTGACCTCTTGGGTTGACGTTGATCAAGTAATCTTCACCGAGATTCTCATGGGCCTTGTGGTTGATGAAGTGTAGGGTGATGCTTTTCGGTGGTGTTGCACCATGCGTCGTTGGGCCAAGTTGGATGGTGTGACGGGCCATCATTGAGTAGAGAGAGAATGGGGACGAGTAAAGAGTGTATTCAGCGTTCTTCCAGTCCGTCATGATTGAAGCTATTTTTTAAATGCGAAAGTGTATTAAAATTGAGCTGCTGATCGTCTCGAACGCCGGGCATTGGAGTAATGAGCTATGTGAGTGCACCACCGAGGGAAAAGGCCAAGTAATCAGGTGACTCAAGTAAAAGCATTGCCAAAGGCAGTGGACAGCATGTAATGGCCCAAACACTCGTGACGAATTACCGAAAGCAGTTGGATAGGCATGTAGATCGCATGATCTGATTCTTTTGATTCATTAAACTTGTTTGCTATGGTTCTCACTGCAAGGTAACCTGCTCATTGATGCCGATATATCCGAGATGGAGTGCAACCAACAGCGATAAGCATGCGCCGTTATCTCTTTGCGCACACACACTCGCAAGCAAACAAAAAGCAACCACCAATCGGATTTCTCAGTCTTTGGGGCTCGCGATGAGATCCGAAAACCGGAGGTCATTACGTCCCCGCGCCAGGATGACACCATTTACAGGATGGAAAACGACGCAATGCAGCAGGGCGTGTGAAAGAGATTGGGTTTTGATGTTGATGAGATGTTAACTAGGTCAATTTCCCAATATCAATATAGTCAATCGGAAATCATAGGTAACAATGAGGATGCTAGTAGTAGAATGCCTTTCAACCTAATAGCCAACTAATGCCAATAATTGTTGACGCTGCCCTTGGTAATCAGCCACGCTTTGTCCAGAACATCCACGATTTCCTTGGGCAAAGGTCCTTTCTCCAGAAGATCCAAGTTTTGCTCCAGCTGCTTCTTACTGCTGGCTCCAATGATCACCGCATCGCCTCGCTCAGGATCAAGCTGTGAGTGATGCGCAATCCAGCGGAAAGCACAATCGATCTCTGTGAGCCCATGCTTTACGGCTTCATCCCTAATAAGCTCAACCGCGTCAAAGATGACGTCGTTCCAGAAGCGCCTTCTGTACTTGCGACCTTGAAAAGTGTTTGGATCGAAGCGAGACATGGATTCAATGTCTGTATCCTGAGTGTCCCGCTTGTACCGCCCAGTTAGCTGACTTCCAGCCAGAGGACTGAAAGCATAGAATGTGATCCCGTAGTGTCTGAGACAAGGAAACAACTCCATTTCAACTGTTCGATGGATGGCATTGTATACTCCTTGATAAACGGTAGGTCGAATCCATCCCTCACGAATACACAACTCGCTCATATAGGCAACCTCCCAAGCCATGTAGTTGCTCACCCCGAGCCTGTTGAACTTCCCTTCTTTGTGCAACTCATTGCAGGCTCTCAGAGTCTCTTCGAATGGCGTGTCGCGGTCAGGTCCATGGAGATACCAGAGATCTATCTTGTCTGTCTTGAGGGCCTTGAGAGACTCATCTAGGTGCTTCCGAAGATCGTCGGTAGAATGAGTGATTTTGCCAGTCCCATCGTGAATGTTAGGATATAGCTTGGTGTCAACTCGGAAACCCCGAGTTTGCCAATCCAGCTGCCCAAGGTACTCCTCAGAGGAGCCTTGAGCATACACACGAGCTGTGTCAATAGCCTTACCGCCATGTTCTTGAAAAAGATCCAGCATGGCACCAGCTTCCTTGAGGTCATGGATACGTGCTTGCTCAACGCCTGCTGATATGAGCAAGAATCTTCGCTTGATAAATACGCTATCCTACCTTCTCTCCCAAACGTCATGGCACCGAAAATGACTGGTACACGAGCCTTTTGCATTTGAGGCATGATGAGAGCAGAGGGGGGTCAACTGGAAGTATGTCGATAAAGTAGATTGGAAATGTCACAAACAATTGTATAATCGAAAGTTAAAAGTCGAATACTATGCTCGAGGTCGAGTTTTGTGACCTTTGAAGAGAGGGGTCGGCCAGCAGATGGGTCCTGTCTTAACCGTATTCCACTCGGCTTGTACTCCCAACAGATAAAGGGCGCGGGGCAGAACCCCCCACTACGAAAGCCTGTGTCTAAACAAAATTACTGCTTACTAGTGCTGTTTGCTTGTCGATCAGTGCTTACTAGCTATACTGTACCAGTGCGGGGTATCAAGGGCCATGTTATAGAGTTGTTTGTACATCAGATATTGTAGATAGAGAACAAGCTCAAGATTATCCAGCGTAAAGCAGATTATAGTAGGACATAAGTATCTTGAGATTTTTACAGCAGCAAAATAAGCTCCAGTGAGCTGTTAATTCTAAAACAAGCATAAGGTTATATACCAAATTTACAAGAGTTTTTAATTCCATTAAGTTAATTTGGTAATAAATAAATTGCTATGCCAACGAAAGGTTATCCTATTTGGCAAAATGGGAGATAAAAGCATCTCGTAATTCAAATGGGTGCTCCGAGGGACGAGGCAAGTCCTTCGAGACGTCCTGATTGACGACAACAACAATCAGAGCCGTCTTTTCAGCCCACTCAAAAGCTTGTATAAGGCCCTCAGCACTATCTACGAAGAACTTCTGCTTATAAGGCAAGCTTCCGCATAGCGAAAGAAGGTTGTTGGTGCTAATCGGGACAGGCTGGTTTCCAGTTGAGCAGTGTATGCCGTTGTGAATCACAACATGAATCAACTTGTCCGATGCTTGGGCAGCCAGAACGGCCACATTGCCTATGTGCATCAAGAAGGAACCGTCTCCTTCAACGCAGACGACGCGGCCTTTTTGATGACCGATCTGCACGCCATAGGCGAGAGGGTATGTATGCCCCATAGCCCCAATGGATAAGAATGCACGAGATAGGTCCTCGTTGTTCTCCTTTCGAATCATGTATATCTCACGAGAGTTCCCTCCAACCGAAGATACGGTGACATCTTCTGGGTAAAGCCTTTTGAGGATGATTCTAATGGAGTGTTCCCTTGACAGAGGAGGTTGACCCTCAGAAGAACGCCAATCTTCAGGCCTGACTGTATGTTTGGCCAAGTTTGTAACAGATGGATGCCAAACACCATTGCTTGCTTCATGCTCAGGCTGGTATGCAGCGAATCTGTGGTTGGGGATGACAAGAGTAGCGGGGGTGTAGCCCTCCTTGGCGGCTTTGACGAGTCTTTCGACTGCGGCCTTGGTTTCTCCGAGAGTCTCTGGTAAGATTTCATACGGAAACCCCTGCGACTCCAGAGTCTCCAGGGTGCGAGGGCCGGCCAAGAGATGCTCTGGCTCATCATGTTCTCCTGGTCGTCCACGCCAGCCCACCATAAGAAGCATTGGAATTCCAAACACTTCTTTGGCAGCCAGGGACTGCAGAGGGTTCAAAGCATTTGCAAGACCCGAGTTCTGCATGTATGCAACGGCGAGACTCTGGGTTGACAAATAGTAACCTGCAGCCAGCGCAGCAGCAGCACCTTCACTGCCTGTGACTATTTGCTCTGGCGCTTTTTTGGTCGCATAGAGATATGCTAGGAATCCCTTCAAACAGGAGTCAGGGACGCCAAAGGCATGAGTGATTCCATTCTCGACGAGTACTTGCTCGTAGAACAAACGAGGATCAAGGGAAGCCATAGTGATTGAAAAAGAAAAGTAAGTGTAGTGCCTTCGAGGATTGTGTAACAGATGCTTTTTGCCATAGAGTTTTTGATGCTGACGAGGTGTTGAGGGAAGTGCTTGAGATGATGATTGCTGTCATCATGTAACAAATGGTCTCCTGCCCCCACGAAGAGCAAGCAATATTCGGGCATACGGAGTCAACATGAGCTCGCAAACTTGGATATCCCGCACCTCCAACTCAATGCAACCATGGTCGTGCGACGACTTGCCTTTTCGAGATAACATTCTCACAGATTTAACCCCACGCCTTCATACAGTAACGGGCTATCAGATGGTCTGTAATACTACAGTAATACTTGTTGAGATGACGTGGCGTGGTTGATCAAAACATTTGGTGAGTGCTACTGGCTAA